ATTCAACTGTTGTATTTCCCCAGCAGTGATAAATGTTCTCTCTCCACACAGCACTGTTGGAACACTTATATTTGTACAGCTAGTTGATTGAAGGAGGAAAAAACAAATTCTTTTTTTAATTAATTAATTTATTTTAATTATGTATACATGATAGCAGAATGCATTTTGATTCATCATACACAATTGCAGCACAACTTTACATTTCTATGGTTGTATACAATATAGCATCATGCCATATGTGCAGTCATACACATATCTAAGGTAATAATATCTTTCCTGCCCCCATGCACCCTCCCTAGCCTCCCTCCCCTTTGCCCAATCAAAGTTCCTCCATTTTTCCCATGCCTCACCCCCTTCCCTGTTTTGGATCAGCATCCACTTATCAGAGAGAACATTCGGCCTTTGGTTTTTTGTGATTGGCTTACTTCACTTAGCATGATATTTTTCAACTCCACCCATTTACCTACAAATGCCATAATTTTATTCTCTTTTAATACTGAGTAATATTCCGTTGTATATACATATCATAGTTTCTTTATCCATTCATTGAAGGGCATCTAGGTTGTTTCCACAGTTTAGCAATTGTGAATTGAGCTATAAACATTGGTGTGACTGCGTTACTGTAGTATGCTGATTTTTAAGTCCTTTAAGTATAGACCAAGGAGTGGGATAGCTGAAAGAGAAATTAGAACATTACCCCATTCACAATAGCCTAAACACACACACACACACACACACATTTGGGAATCAATGTAACACAAGAGATGAAAGACCTCTACAATGAAAACTACAGAACACTAAAGAAAGAAATTGAAGAAGACCTTAGAAGATGGAAAGATCTCCCATGCTCTTGGATAGGCAAAATTATTGTCAAAATGGCCATACTATGCAAAAGCACTATACAGATTCAATGTGATTTCAATTAAAATTGCAATGTCATTCCTTACAGAAATAGAAAAGGCCAAATTCTTCCTTGACACTTGGTATCTTGTTTTGCCCTGAGGTCTTATTTTTCTCTCTTGTTGTGCTTTCAGAGATAGAGAGGTTAGTCAAAGGCACAACTATGCTGCAGTCCCCTGTTGTTCCTTGGGCTTTGAGGGGAAATTTCCTCTTACCTTGGGTTTTCTAATTTACAGAACGCAACAGGAAGGTCAGAGCTCATCCACTAAGACATTAAGGATGAGATAAGAAGCCAGGGAGATTTTCTCAGGAGTTTTCTGTCCTCAGTCCTGAGAAACCCCTGCAAAGGTCTGTTCCTTTTGCCTATATTCTGACAATCAAGAATTCAGAGCAGACACTGGATGCAGTGGCACCCACATGTAATCCCAGTAACTGGGAAGAAGAGGCAGGAAGATTGAAAGTTTGAAGCCAGTCTCAGCAACTCAGTGAGGCCCTCAGCAACTTAGAGATACCCTGCCTCAAAATAGAAAATAAAAAAGGGCTGGGGATATTGCTCAGTGGAAAAGTACCTCTAGGTTCAATTCTCTGTTCCCAAAAATAAAATAAATAAATAAATAAATAACATCATCATCATCATCATCATCATCGTCATCATCGTCATTGTCCAGAGCAGGCATCAGAAGTTTTATCCCTAGGGTCTGTGGATTAGGAGAGACCAGGGCACTGGCACTGGACCACCCAGTGAGTCAGTTTATTTTTCTCATGGAGCCCTGAGGATAATGACAGAGGTACTGTACGCTCATGAAAGTCACAAGACAGTAATAAAATTAGATTGGGTTTACAGAGACCTTTTCTGGACTATGCCACCTAGTGAGGGCTTTTCCAGCACTGTCTGACCAGTTTGTTTTCTCCCTTTCCATTTTGTTTTGAGGTTTCAGAGTCTAGAGGGAGACTTCCTTATGTACCCTTTTCCTGTCTTCACAGTGAAGAGGTAAAATGCTCTAATTCTTCTCTAATATTGACTCCCCCCACCCCCAGGCTTTAGAAGGATTTTGAGGTTTGTCCATTGGTAGTGGACTTGTTTCTAAGCAGCTCCACTTAACGAGTACACAAGGTGGTGAGGGAACCCAGGACGTGGAAGAGTACAAGTACCAGACAGTAGGTAGAACAGTTTCTACTGCATGATACCTGGGAAGTCTCCTTTTTTTCTGGAAAGGTAGTTTCATCTATAGAAGAAGTTGATGAGGTTGTAGTTTTAGGAGAGTGTTGAAGGTTGTTGATGGCTGTGGTCTCAGTGGAGTTCCTGAAAGGAGCTGGGAGACCATAGTAGACAGATTGCTAAATGGCACTGTGAGCCTGTTGAAGCTGGAGAGTCAGGGAAGGCATGTCATTAGATTAGCCACATGTGGCTCTGGGAAGAGGAAAATGAAGGAAAAAAGTGGTGAGGGAATTAGAGGAGTCCAGCATGGTACTGTGTCTTTGCCTTCATCACCAAGTAATTCTATGACTTTTGGGGAAATCTCTCTAAACATGAGTCTGTTCATTAGTCCTATAAGAATCATTAACCACCTCTTGCTCTGAATTCTTTAAAAAAATTTTTTTAGTTGTACATAGGCAGAATACCATTATTTATTTATTTTAAATTTTTTTTTTTAGTTGTCAGTGGATCTTTTTATTTATTTATATGCGGTGCTGAGAATTGAACCCTGTGCTTCACACATATTAGGCAAGCATTTTACCACTGAACTATGATCCCAGCCCCATTATTTATTTATTTAGATGTGTGCTGAGGATCAAATCCAGTTCCTCAATGTGCTAGGCAAGTGCTCTACCACTGAGCTACAACCCCATCCCAGATATTCTGAATTTTTTTAATTTTTTTTTTAGTAGTAGATGGACACAATACCTTTATTTTATTTATTTATTTTTATGTGGTGCTGAGGATTGAACTCAGTGTGTCACATGTACAAGGCAGGTGCTCTACTGCTTAGCTACAGCCCCAATCCCTGCTCTGAATTCTTGACTATCAAAATGTAGTAAAGCGACACACCTTTCAGGAGTTTCTCAGGACTAAAAAGGAAAACAATAATGTTTGTGATATGCTTGGTGCTTAGGAAATACTAATAAAATCTGCTCCCATCCCTTTCCCTTGACAAAATGGAGATTAAAGGTATGTCCTTGTCCCAGGGAAATCAACCCTTGATGTGAATGAGAGGAATGTCAGAAATTTCTGAATTAGGGGGAAATAGGAGGACTGTAGACTCTCAGGGTTCAGTGGCATCACAGGATGGGTTGTTGTGAGAGCTAAAAGGATAGGATGCTGGAGTCAGAGATTGGGCTCTGGGGTTGAAGATATCAGAAGATGAATGTTCAGGTGTTTCTTCAGTGCTATGGAGTTGGCCTGGAAGAAAAGTGGGGCCATTTTGGCCTGAGCGTTCCTCTGATCTCTCAGAAGGAGTGGGAATACTGGCTTTGGAAGGGAAGCACCTTGAGAAACTATTGGAAATATTGTGGCATGATCATGGCAGTAGATGTGGACAGTAAAAAAAGGGATTGTGTCTCCAAGGGAACAAGAATATCAAGATTGGAGAAGACTGACCCTAAAGCAGCAGTGAGGAACTTGGGTTCATTCCAGGCTACATGCAAGGGAGTGCACAGGGAAATCCAGGCTGTACTTGTTGGAGGATGGGAGGGTTATAGGACTTGAAGCTGGATGCGTTGAATTAAACTGACTGCTACTGCTGCCCCAGATGGAATGGTTGGTATGTCTCTCTGACTAAACATTTATTTCTTCTTTTCAGTCAGGCTTCATCCCTTTCTCTATACCTAAAAACTGCCTCTGTCTCTCCCATTTTTCTCCGTTCTCCATTAATACACACTTACTAGACCTCTTTCTTCCTTCTGAAACTCCACCTCCTCAGGAAGCTTTCAGAACTTATAGCTTCAAGGTGGAGGCAGCACTCGGGTTCCTGGCCTTTGCACTTCTCATCATTGCAACCTCCAGAACTTTGGAGCTACTTTTCTAGAACTACAAGTCAAGGAACCAGTTTCTCTTCTTTGTCTCTAGTCCTTTGCCTTGGCAATAAGGTATTGGTGACAGTATTTTCAAGCCTGTGCTTTGAGCTACCTTATCTCTGTAAGAATCTGTCTCTCTCCTCACCAAATTAGCTAACCCATCATCCCAGTACTGTTTCTTATATAATTCATCTTTGTATGTGAACACTTACAAAGAATGGCTGTTATAGGAACAAAAAGGATCCAACTTGAACCAGCTCCCAAGAGCAGCTTCACTCAAGAGTCTAATGGATACTCTGGTTGTTTCCTTTGAGGATCCAGAGCAAGTCCAGGCCAAACCTTAATCTTCATCATTTTATTATACATCTTTTCTGTAGTCTGCTTCCTAGGACATAGACTGAGCTGTGTGACTGTCCACCGAGGAAACAACAGTCCTTCTTAGATCTGAATCCTTGTCCTGAGGAACTCACATTCAATGCCTAGCTGTCACTTGTCTTTTGCGCACATGCACACACATGCGCGCATGTGTAAGATAAATAGATGGGGGGGAGAGAGAGAACATCAGAACAGCGGGCACCCAGTGTCTGTAGAACCCATTTATTGCCTAATCCAAATATTCTTTTTCTGGACACATCACAAACTGAGACTCTTCAACTGAAATCCCAGTGTTTCTTCTTGAGCCATAAATAAGGAATGTGATCTCTTTAGAACTGATCCAGCTTCTGCCAAGGCAAAAGAAAAGAGAATCTATAAACTCAGTAATGGAGCAGACAGAACCAAAGTCTTAAGAGTATTTCCTTGGAAAGCACCTGTAAGGGCATGTGAATTTTGCCCCTCCCCAAGGCTGATAGTTTATACACTTGCTGTTTTTCTAATTTTTATGCAAAGACATATGGCAATGGCTTAATTTCTCTGAGGTTACTTTGGCTTTTCCAGAGCATAGCACTCACCATACAAACTAAGAACATAAATGCTACTGATACTGGTCTCTTGTGTGGTGTGCCCTAGTACCTGTAAGAAGAATATTGCATTCTGGTCCACAGGACCCAGCTCTACAGCTCTGACCAATCTTCTTTTTCTTCCAGGAAACTTGCATTTCTTCTCTAGTGGCCTTCTGTTTTCTCACCGTCATCATGGAAGTATCATCATTTCCAAGGATCACGTGAATTCCCTTTCCTTCTATGATGGGGTAGGTGTTTTACAAGTTCATGTCTTGGGCAATCAGAAATCACCCACACTTCTGAGGTGAAAATCAAATATAATTTCCTGTCTTCCTCATCTCCTGAGGGGTAGGATGTCAGAAACCAGCATGGCCATTGAAGCAGGCTGGCAGTGAGGTTGAGAAAAGGTCTTTACACTGTCACAATGCTTGTGATCTTTGTCAACCTCATTTCTCTATTAAAGGCCAGTAAGGGCTTCCAGGTTAGAAGTACCTGTGCCCATTCACTCATCCCAAAAAGACTTAGAAAGCAAGACGAAAAGACCCCCAATAGCTCCTTGCAAATGGCCTCCAGCCTAAGGACACAAAGGCTCACCCAATTTAGAACTGGAAAGAATCTTTGTGACATTGATAGGGCTCCACTCCTTAGCCACGGGAAAGAATTATAAGTGGGTCAAAAAGAAAAATGCTTGGGCTGGGGATGTGGCTCAAGCAGTAGCGTGCTCGCCTGGCATGCATGCAGTCCAGGTTCGATCCTCAGCAACATATACAAATAAAGATGTTGTGTCCACCAAGAACTAAAAAATAAAAAAAAAAAACCCACAAATTCTATTTTGGGGGCTGGGGATGTGGCTCAAGTGGTAGTGCGCTTACCTGGCATGCGTGCGGCCCAGGTTCGATCCTCAGCACCACATACAAAACAAAGATGTTCTGTCCGCCAAAACCCAAAAAATAAATATTAAAATTCATTCTCTCTCTCTCTCTCAAAAAAAAATTAGAAATGATGTAAGAAATTCTGAAGAGCTAATAGGGTGGTTCACTCCTGTAATCCCAGCAATTTAGGACATTGAGGCAGGAGAATTGCAAGTTCAAATCCAGCCTATACAACTTAGCAAGATCCTGTCTCAAAATAAGAAATAAATAGGACTGGGGATGTAGCTCAGAGGTAAAACACCCTTAGGTTAAATCCCCAGTGCTTATAAAAGAAAGAAAGAAAGCAAGCAAGAAAGAAATTCTCAAGAAAAAATGTTTGTCAAAATTGCTCACTTGGGGCTGGGGATATAGCTCAATTGGTAGAGGGCTTCTCACACCCAAGGCCCTGGGTTCAATCCCCAGTACCACACACACACACACACACACACACACACACACACACACACAAATTGGTCACTTAATGATTTTTAATTTAAAACATGATTTAATTCATTGAAGTGTTCTTTAAATACAGTTAACCATGTCCATAAGTTCTAGCCACTCTACCGTAAAATACTGGTTAAGTGTTACTTTATGCCAAATACTATACATGATGTCATCTTGTTAAGTCCTTAAAACAATCCTATGAGGTAGGCATTAACAAGACTTGACAGAGAGAAGCAGCTCTGAGAGGTTTGCAAACTTGAGATAAAAACGAATCTTTTAAAACTGAAGGTTTAAGTTGTGGTTTGCTTCATCACCACCTCAGATAAGTCTCATTCTACATTCTTAACCACTAGAAGAACTAAAAATCCAACCTATTAGCTAACTCTGCTCTTATCTAGGTAACTCTAGGTGAGAATTTTCCCCACTGTAGTCTCAGAAGGAACTATAATAGGGGTGAATTGTTGGAAATTGTTAGATCACAAAATAAGGTCATTTAGTCATTAGTCATAAATTACTACAGGCTAGGTATGGTAGGGCATTCCTGTAATCCCAGTGGCTTGGGAGGCTGAGGCAGGAGGATCATAAGTTTGAGACCAGCCTGAGCAATTTGTCCTGTCTCAAAAAAATAAAATGAAAAAGGGCTGGGGATGTAGTTTAGTGGGAAAGTGCCCTTGGATGTATTCCTTAATACAGTAAATAAAATGTACATAAGAACTACATAATGTATAGGTTACCTGAAAAAGTTGTTTTGTACTCATTTTTACTTAGGGAAAAACATATCTTCCAGATGAAGGGAAATTTCTTATTCATTATTTGCTTGAGATGACAAAAGGAAGTCTTGAAATTAGATGTAATTAGAAATTCATCTTATTAATACATAAAGCTGCAATTTTATGCTTAGGGTCTTTATGATGAGAATCATATAATTTAGAAATTGTTTTAAGGTCTTTCTGATAATCCAAGAACTAAATTATCCGTTGCACTTGCCTTAATACATAGCTTTATTATAGTAATTTTATAGTTTTTAAAATTGGACCTAAATATGTGATGTAATTTAGAAATGTGAAAACAAATTTTCATTGTCAATATACATTATATACATTATTATATACAATATACATATGATTATATACATTAATTATTTTCTATAACTTTAAAAAAGAAAAAAAACTTCTAACAGTCTAGCAATTGTGTACAATCATGAAACAAACCATTATCACAAAACAGAAAATTTTCTTTTTTTTAATTTTTAATTTTTTTGTAGTTGTAGATAGGCAGCATGCCTTTATTTTATTTGCTTATTTTTTTATGTGGTGCTAAGGATTGAACCCAGTGCCTCATAGGTGCTAGGCAAGTGCTCTGCCACTGAGCCTCAGACCCAGCCCCCAAAAAGATTTTCTTTACCCCAAAGTCTCCTTATGCCCTTCCTCCTACCTCTGGTTTCCTCATGCCCTTCCTGCACTCCTGGATTTTTATCACTGTAAATTAGTTTGCATTGCTGATATATCATCAAGTATTCTGTACCCTTTTGAATCTGACATTTTCTACTCAGAATGATTTTTAGATTTATTCCTATAATATATACGAATAGTTTGTTCCTTTTTCTTTTTGCTTCTTTTGTTTGAGTAGTATTCCGTTGTATGGATTTATTGTAAAGATTTTTAGACTAATTAGTAATATAAAACTCTAAAGATATTTGGAAAAGAGAATTGGAAGGCAAAAAACACTGGAAAAATATCTTTGGTGATTAAAACCAATGAGTTAATATTTTTTTTCTATAAAGAGCTCTATCTTTTTTAACATGAAAACACTGATTCCTAAGAGGCATTCTTAATCAATAGAGGGAAGCACATCAGAAACAGCTATCATATGTAATAGTTAATAAACAAAGAGTAAATAAGAGAAGCAGTTAGCAGAGGAGAAATGGAGTAGGCGATATGAATGTCCAACCAAGGGAGTGGGGGTGGGATGCCTGAGATGAGAATAGAGGGCAATCATTGAAAATGTTAATAGATAGTATATAAATTTTTACAGATGGTATGGTAGATGGTAATGGTTAGTTCAGTCTTAAATATAGAATATGGGCAGGTGGGGCGCTGGGAATGTATCTCAGTGATAAGAGTGCTTGCCTAGCACAAGTGAGGCCCTGCGTTCCAGCCACAGGACTGGGGGTAAAAATATTTGGGCTAGAGGTGTATGTATCTCAGTGATAAGAGTACATGCTTAGCATTAGAATGTTCAGGGTCCTGGGTTCAATCCCCAGCACACACACAAATACAAAATTAATTAAAAAACAGATTTTTTAAAAGTTAACTATAGGGTTAGGGGTGTGGCTCAGCGATAGAGAGTTCACCTAGCACATTAGAGGCCTTCGGTTCTATCCTCAGCACCACATGTAAATAAATAAAATAAAGGTATTGTGTCCAACTACAACTAAAAAAGAAATATTAAAAAAAAATTAACTATAGCTGGATATGGTGGCTCACACCACACTGGTAATCCCAGCAACTCCAACTCAGGATGCTGAAGCAGGAGGATCACAAATTCAAGGCCTGCCTTAACAATTTAGCTAGACCTCAGAAACTCAGCAAGACCTTGTCTCAAAATAAAAAATGAAAAGGGGCACCATGGCGCATTTGGCTTAGGAAGCTGAGGCAGGAGGATAGAAAGTTCAAAGCCAGCCTCAGCAACTAAGAAATTCAGTGAGACCTTGTC